CAGAATTTGTAGCTAAAAGGTTTAAGAAAGGCTTCATTTCAAATTCTATGGACAGAACTGAAGATTGTTTCTGTCATCTTGAGTCTGAAGAGGAAGCTCAAAATACAGAGACTAAAAGAGTAGAAGGTAACGACAGCGAAGAGAGTGACAGCACCAGAAAGTTAAGTCCGTGAGGTCTAAAAACTGAAAATCAATTGTAGTAATGTATAATATAAGAAAATAAGACTAACTTCCAATAGAAACAACAGAAACAATTAGTGAAGAATTTATAACTTTATTGAATATTGATTACAGGTATGTAATAAAAAAAAAGCTTTTTATGTAGAGCTAGGCATGTTTGCTTTTAGGAGAGACTTCTTATATTCATATTAGTACAGTATGTATTTCCCAGCATTACCAAGATCGACTCCAGTGTGTCAGCACAGAGGCAAAAAAATAGGGTAGGACCTTAAGGTCCTAATACTTCACAAGAACCTCAACACAATAAAAATCAGTTTAAAACACTCGGAACAAACTCTATGCAGTCACATCAGTTAAAACCAAGCTTTTTTAAAAAGAACTTTTTGGTTTTCTTTTGAAGTAGGTAAAACCCATTGTGTCCCCCCCCATTCTTCTACTGGCATTATACTTGTGCTACCAATGTTAAGAGGATCCTAGGTTACTATTGAGTAAACTGCCTAAACTAGAAGGATATTAATGTGTCTACTAACGGCTAAGCACACTTCTCAACATATTTTAACACAGGATTTTTCTCATAACAGGCAGACATGAGAAAACAACCAACAGATGAGACAAAAAGTACAGGCAAAGTTGTTGAGGAAGGACTGCACAGCAGTCCAAATGTTTTGTTATGTTTTTGATACAGGTCACTATGTGTACTAATGTAAAAGTTGTCAACAACAAACCTGACCACCTTACAGTTTTGGAGAATTTGTACCAAAGTACAGCAGGAAGGGAAAAAAGTTTAAAAAAAAAAAAAAAAAAAAAAGCACTTCAGAAGCAGACTCAGAAGAGAGATGAAAAATCAAAAATAAATGGAGGAAAAACTAATAAGCTCAAAGATGAAACATGTCAACTACAAAAAATAGTCAGGAAGGATAAGCAGAGGTACCACAAAGATTTCACAACTAACTAGTGGCAGAAGAAAATTTGCTACCAGCCTGCAAGTGCAAATAAAGATTACTCTGGGTAATGACCACCTGGAAGGGAACACAAGCCACAGTAAAGAGCTCTGATATACCCATCAGCATCAAATTCACCTAGCTCTCAGGGGAAAACAAACAAACAAATAAACCAACCCAAACATTTTGGTCTTCTCTAACTGAATACAATCAACAGATCACCTTTAAGAGCAAAGTTTGAAAAGAATCTTATCAGCCACCACATGGTGACAAGAACAGTAATCCTTCTTTGGACCATTCTGAATTCTTGCAAAATTCACACTTTTAATTTTTAGTCACTACAGCTGAAGATACTTGTTTTGTCTGCCCCAGCCTGCACACATATTGTTTGTGACAACATAACCGTTTGTCACAGATTTGCTAATTACCAACTTGCAACAGAAGAGCATGAATCACAATTAAAAAGTCATTTTACATATATCCGTACGGATGTGAATTTCACTTGATAACAATTAAAAATAATGCTCTCTGTTGCATGCTGACAATGGAGAACACAACTACATTCACACAGATATGGTACAGGATTAAAGTCCAGTCTATAAACCCCTTAAAATTTAAGAATAATTGCATAATTTCACAGTGCAATCAGCAGCAAAACAAAAAAATATTTATAGCTAATGAAATGCTGCATATAAAATACATCAAAGTAAACTTTATTCTTACAAGGGAATAATGCAGTTCTATAACATTATTTTCTGCCAAGGTACAAGGGATCTTCTTTTTCTGTTTGTAACAGTTGTTCTACACTGTTGGGTTACAAACACTGAAATAGTTCAAACTGAGATTTTTCAAAACCAGATAAGGGATTTGGCTGTACAACTCCCACTTCATTTAATGAGAGTACTTAAATCTCTTATTCGCCTTTAAACCTAAGGATTTTTCAAGGCTGTACTGCACATTCTTTAGCTTCCTTCAGTATGAAAATACACTTATTTCTCAAACATTATGCTACTCACTTAATTAAAAAAAAAAAAAAAAAAAAAAAAAAGAGTTGCTTTATGGCAACAAGCTATGTGGTTGGTGGGCTCCAGAGTTACTATCTGGCAAAATAAAATACGGACACAAAACTTTCCAAGTTCTGTATACTTATTTCATGCCTAGAAACTAAATATGAAAAAAAAAAAAAAAAGCAGGTGAAGTCATACTGAGAAATGCTGAATTATTTCTTCAGCACTGCACTTCCAGACTTAAGATATAAACTCTAAATTTTGTATATATGACTGGTCAAATTATTATTTAATGCATATATATTCAAAGATTTTACTCTAGAAATCATAGCAGATGTCTTTAAACTGTAATTTTAAAAGAGATTTCCAAGATGGCTTTTACTGTTACAGGAATTCTCTATAACCTCTGTCATGCAATGCAAGCTAAGCAGCTAAGCCTACTATCTGAATCATGAATACTATTTTGTGTTAGCACCAATAAAGGATTAAAACTGTAGAAGAGGCCGAACAAGTATTTTGGCACCACCAACACAGGTGAACAGATTTTAAAAACCTCTGTTGAACCAGTATTAAAAAATATCCACCCAACAACAACACTATTTAATATATTAAGCATCTGTTTAGATCTTGTTTAAAATTTGAAAAGCAGGATCTTTCAATATTGAATAGCATGTCTCAACTCTCAGTGTTACACGTCAGTCTTCAGTCTGCAAAAACGGACACAGCCTTCCTATAAATCTTGGTATAGAAGGGACAGTAACTCATTTCAAAACAGCATGGATTTCCATCTAAGTCAGTTTCTACACAACTGTTTTGTTCAGTGAAACTTGGTTTTGAAAGGTGTGGGTTTAAAAAAATTAGTAAATTTGGGTCTTACAATGGACTTTTCTAACAGGCATTAAAATAATGAGAATAATATTAATTTTTGTTAAATTTCCAATCAATCAATCCACTACTGAAGCCACTCACTAAGTACATGCAACCATAATTTCCGTGATAAATCTGTGATAAATCTGCTTTAGACACCAGTAATCTACTCTGTATTTGTCAAGGACAGTGTATTCATTCCCACCTACCCAACTATTTCAGTTCAATGAACAGCTCATTCACAAGTTAGAAGTCAAGCCAGAATTGGGAAAGCCAGATTTTCACTTCCCAGTGTATAAATCTAAGAAAATATGCACAAAGATTCAATAGACTGAGAACACATTGATCTGAACCAACATAAACCAATCTTGTTTCTGTGCTTCTACATGGACATTCTACACAAATACAGCATGATAAATTTTGACCGGAGAAAACCTGAAATATGACTCCTGTATATATGAAATAAAAGACAAGAAAGGAATATGCTTGAAATATTTAGTAGAGAATCCCTCTGGTTAGCAAAAAGTAGAGCCCAGTTTAATCCAGAAGTGACAGACATGTAAATTATCATGCTACCATGGCTACCACGAAGAATCAACTGTTTATGAAACCAGATACAAAATCACAAATAAAACACAATTGAAACCAACCATGTGAATTCACTCTTATCTGTTCCACCTTTTAACAATTTGCCTATGTTCCATGAATGGATGACAGTAATGTACAAGCATTATCACTTTCATCAGATAGACAATTAAACCCATAGTAAACCTACAGAGGTAGCTGTTTCTGTGAATTTCTGTGGCCTAAAATGTTTAAGAACTTGCCTTACACATTCATTGTGTCATACCTAATGCTAGCTGACAAAGGACTTCTAAGAGAAATCAGGGCAAGGTATACACACACATAGGAGACTAAAATGGAGCAGTTTGTTTTAACTGTAGAGCTAGCACCACAAAGTTTGTTTAGAAAGGGATACTCAGCAGGGTCACCAGTTCAGAAGAAACACCTGCGAACAGCCCTGCTTCAGGAGCAGCCCAAGCCCTCGGGAAGCAGGCCTTTTCCCGACGGCAGTCACAGCCAGAATAATTACACACAATGGTGCTTCCAACCCTGCCAGCTCAGGAGCCCTCTCCTGAGGTGGGATTGCACTCCCTTGACAGGGCGAGAAAACGGTGATTAGCACTGCAGACCTACAGACCTGCCACCACCCCCCCAGGGAACTTAAGTTTATTTAGTCCGGCGCCACTCCACCGCCTTCTCTTCCCAGGTTGGGAAAAACTCCGCTATCCCTCCAGGGTACGAGATAGGGAAGGGAGAGGGGAAGGGGCGGGGGGAGGAGAGAGGCACTCGGGCATAGAGCAGGAGCCCTGCACAGAAGGGACCCGGGACGGACTTTCGGCTCCTCCCCGACCCCTCGGCGGAGAAACGGGAGCCCCCATCTCCCGGGCAGCCGCCTCCCTCCCTTCGCCCCGCACTTCGCCTCCTGGGGAGGAGGGGTGTCGGAGGGAAAGGGGGGTGGGGGGGGGGCCCTCGGTCCGCCACCGCCAGGAACAAAGGGCCCTTCGATAAGCCGAGCCGCAGAGCACAACAAAGGGGCCTAGAGACCGCGAGAACCGGGGCGGCCGCCGGGGACGGGGGGAGGAGAGGCGGGGGAAGGGGATTACAGGCCCGGCCAAAGCGGCTCCCGGCACGGGGAAAAGGTGGGGGGGGGGGGGGAGGCCGCCTCATCTCAGCCCACAATGAGCGGTGGCAACGGCGGCGTCAACTGCCCGGCCCGGAGCACCAACTCCCCCCCCCCCCCCCCCCCCCCCAGCCCCGGGCCAACCGTCGCACCGGGCCGTTGGCTCCGGCTCCCCTCGGCGCCCCGGTGGGGGCGGCGCTGCCGCCGCCCGCCCCCCGCGCTCCCTCGCACCCGGGCGCGCACACACACACACACACACACACACACACACACCCCGCGGGGGAGGGGAGGGCAGGGGAGGAAGGGAAGAGGCGGCCTGACCTGGCAGAGCTGCTTGCAGTACTCGGTAGCCGCCTGCACCGCCGGCTCGGGGCTCTCCCGCAGCCCCGTCTCTAGCTCCACCAGCCGCTCCCGCAGGCGCCGCAGCTCCAGGAGGTCGCCACCTAGGCTACCGCTCTCCTGCTCGGCCTCCTCGTCCGCCATCTTCGCACCCCGCTCCGTCGCGTACGCAGCCCCCCCCGCCCCCCCCCCCCCAATCCCCGCCTGCCTCGGCCTCCCGCTCCCCCCCCTCCCCGCTCCGTTTCCAGGTCACGTGATTACACAATGCCACGTTCCGGGGAGGGGTCACGTGCCGGAGACGACGCGGAGGGGGTTGGGGGGTGTGTGGGGGGGTGTGTGCGGGGAACGCGCGCGCGCGCGCTCTCCGTCCCCCCCGCGGCGCCGGGCCGAGCCGGGGGAGGGGCCAGAGCGGGAAACGGGAGCGGGGGGGGGGGGGGGGGCGCGCGCGCGCCCCCGCGCCGTCACGTGATGCGACGCCACGCGCCAGGCGGCCACGTGACGTCCCTCCCCACCCTCCTCCAGCCGACGGGTTTTGGCGGCAAAACGGCAGCAAATGGCGGCGGTCGGCTCGGCCCTGGGTGTCCGTCGTACCCCACCCCGCCCCACCCCCCATTCCCCGGGCTACCTTAGAAAGGCCTCGCTGGGGCGGCCCGTGCCACTGTCCCTTGAGTGCTGGAGGCGGTGGTGGCTTCTGCGTGGCCTGGTCATGCCAGAGCTGTGTTCCCCCCCCTTGATGGCCGTCGTTACATGGAGCAAGGCTACAGCTCTCCCGTGCTCAGGGGCCTGAATGGGTTGTTTCCTCCCCAGCCCCTGCTGTGGGACAGCCGTGGCCAATGCTGCTGGAGTTTTGCCACATGTTGTTCCCCCTTCTTTCTTCTTCTGCAGGAAGTGATGGGGTGTGTTAGCCCCAACGCTGCCACTGAGTTGTTGTCTTCATACCTGGATCATCTTGCTTTTATTATAATTGGAAGCGAGAAGTATGACATTTCAAATAAAGCAATTGAGATCTGGAGGTTCAAGGGGGCTTTGTTGCCCATGGGGCCCTTGTACTGGATTGAGCTGTCTCACACACTGGTGATGTCCTCAGAACAGTGGAAAGCTCCAGTGATGGGCATTGGCCTCCCCTGCATCTGCCTCGAGAAGCTGAGGAGACTCTTTCACCTGTCACAAGTATTGGAAATACTGGAGATTGGCCTGAGCCATTAAATCTGATGGGGAAAAAATGGACTTGATGGGCACCGAATTGGCATGGGTACATATTTTACAGTCTTCTAGGCTGTATAGGTTGACACAGGTTGATGGCTTCACACTCTTTGGGTTGCCAGTGCTCATCAAGGAAGTGAGAAGGAAATGTGTTACTGCAGTGAGAGCACTGTCTGTCAGGACTGGATCATTTCTTTTAGTCAGCCAGCAGTGAGAGAAGGTATACAGTATTAAGCTGGGCATTTCACATCATCTGGAAAACAAGGAACACTCTTGTATTTTGCACTAGCTTAAATCAGGTATAACACTTTTTTGGCTGGAAGAGACTGTAGCTGCAGATTCCTCAGTATGTCAGTCTTGCTCGGACCCGGGTACAATACAATATTCTACACCCACTAACTTATCTGGTATGACTGTTGGACTCATTTGATGACTATGTTCTCTCATTTTTTGTCGTGAAGGAAAAGTAGTGCTACCTGCAACAGTTGAAAGCTGAGATGTATGATGGAATGAACACTAAATCAGCTGGAAAGAAAAGATGTTCTTCTGAGTTTGCAGAAAAATTAGTCTGCAAATGTGGCCATTCACAGTGATAGTATTGAATATACAACATTTTGGAGAGAGGACTGAGGGTCTGTTCCAAAGATGACCACATTTTGGGTCATAACAGTAAACCCAAAGTGCTATGTTTCTAGTTTCCCATACAAGTAACTAAGTAAATATCTTATTTGCCATTGTAAGATGAAACCTTTTAAGTTTCTGATTTTCATCGTACATGAAATCCATTCTGTTCCAATCAGAAGAGAAAACTTTCAGCTTTCCCATTTAAAGCTTAATGCAGTACCAGAAAAATCTGACTGGTTTGCTGGTATTCCTCACCACCAAACTGCCTATAACACCAGTACTAATGATTGATGCAAATACTAGAACCGACTACACAAAGACCTATTTATTCTTTCTCAATCGCTTAATTTATCTGCAGGAGCTAAAATAGCTTCTCCTCTGGATAACTCTTTCAGCCCTATATTGCGCTATTTGTAATTATTTTCACTTAAGGGTAAACCACAATAGCCAAATTCATAGTCTGTCCTTGTTTTAACTTGCTGTCTTGTTTCCTCCTTGCCCAGAGGGTTTTCTGAATTGAGCCTAGGCCAGGAAGGAAGGAGGAACGTGGAGCATGAGTTTCTTGCTCATGCAAAAGTTTAGCACTCGGAGATGGTAGGGTAAAGGTTGCTTGTTTTGTTCTCAACAGGATCAAGTGGAAAGGAGCCTGTCCTTCGGCTGTGCTATCCTGAAGAGGACTTGCACTTAGGCCTCCAGGGGCCTTGTGCAAGGGAGGATTCCTGTCTTTAATCACAGTTCACAGGCAGTTAATTGCCAAGCTTACACCTAAGACACCAAGGAAGGAATTAGTAAATAGAAGGAGTGACCACAAACAGCGGTGAATAAGGGAGGAGTTCTCTTTTTTCTTGTTTGACAGCAGTGAGAATATGATGACAGCTACTGAGGCAAGTGTGGTGGTGGCCTGAGGAAAAGGAGAAAAATGTTGGGCATGACCAGATGCAAAGCTATGTTTTTCATCCTGTCCTTGAATCCCAACAGAAACTACACTGTGATAGATAGAGCTTACGGAAGAGAAGAGCTGGTGCCTGAGAGTGACAGGAGAGAAAGAGATTGCACAGAGGAGACAGCCTTTTCAGATACTTGTTTTCTCCATGGACTTGTGGAGCAGACTATGTGACAGTGAAAGAATGTGAATATAAGGTAGAGGAGGCTCACTATTGCAGGGGAAATAGAGTCAAAGAAGTCCTTTGCTGTACTGGAAAATACAGGGAAGAAAGAAGCAGATGCGGATGATAAGTGTATGTGGAAGGACAATGAATCCCATGAGAGGAAAAAAAGAAAAACAGAAAAACAACCAAACCAGTCCAAGGAATAAAAAGAGAATGGAGACTGTGAGAAAGAACAGAAAAAGAATGGAGGACTGGAAAGGGAAGAACCGGAGTTTTACACCAGTACAAAGATGGAATTTCTTGTTAAGAGGAATTGACAGGCGTATTACTAGTGTGTGTCAGAAATAAAGATTTAAGATAAGGGCTTGTGGCAGTAAAGGTTCCTCATCATCAAAATGTCCTTTGGGATTCAGATACGCTCTTCCCCACTCTTACTCTTGCCACTTCCTTGACTGACTCAGTATTTCCACAGTGTGGTGTTTTCCTAGTTCCACACTTCAATTCTCACGTCTCAAATAAACCTGTCGTTAGGAAGCATATCCTATGGCTCTTCAGAGACTCTGGTTGTATGTTTTGGGATGCTGGGCCTGGCTAGAGATGGTAAGAGAAAAAGAACTCTCCATGATCTAAGCTCCCTTGTATGTGAGTTATTTGCCTATCAGTAGTTTGAAACAGCTTTAAAAAAATAAACAAGTTATGTGATGTTTCACTCTTGGTTTTAAGATGTCGGAAGAGGAAAATCAAGTGAGTAGCAACAGGAGTACAAGAGGTTAGGACAATGGACAGCAAGGAGAAGAGGTTGGAATAGTGATGAGTGTGTTGCTTAGACTGTTGCTTAGACTTAGAGCTCAGACAACAAAACTCTAGATCTTTTAGGGGTAACAGAAGATATGACAATAGAAATTAGGACAGGAACACACAAATACTAAAACACTCATGCTGTTTGGGAGGCAAAAGGGATTGATGGAGGATTAGTGTGGTAGATATTAAAGAAAGAAACAGGGATGGGAAAGATAAAGTAGAACTTGTTTGAGTCAGTATTGTGGAAATGTGGCAAAGAGCTTCTGTAAGAGAGCATGAAGATGTGCTAGAGATGTTTGGGTTTGAGTCTGGAGAGAATTTTTGTAAGATTATTAGGAAAAATACTACTTGGAGCAGCAAAACTAGGTTGATAGCTATGGTTCTTAATTTCAAAGGTCAAACTTTGAGAAATTAAGGGAATGAGTTAGTGGTTAGTGATGACAACTGTCTCTAGGTGGTCAAGGATGTCAAGGACGTGCATGTGGAGAAGGCTTGGCGTCCATCAAGTCTCTCTGAAAAAATGTGTCTGGAATTCATATCTCAAAAAAGAGGAACAGTCAGTCCCAGCTGGATAAATAGCCACTTCAAAAGCGTTATTGGGAACAATCAAAAGCTTGAAAGCAATGGAACAAAATGATTGCTTGAAAAATATTAAGAATGGTAAGAATAAAGTGAGAATTGTCAGAAGCCCAGCTGAGCTTCCTTACAAAGGAAATTAAAGCAGGGGCTAATGAGAAAGAAGATATGAAAATGAATGTTTCCGCATTTGAGATGAAAGCAAAAAACCTATCGCATGGCCATCTGAAACATCAGAAGATCTTTATTCAGCCAGAAATTCTATTAATGATGTAGGTACAAAAATATAAGCTGTAATAATGAAATGTGCTGATGACACAAAATAGTGAGACACTTTCAATATGAGTAGGATCAATACTAGATGACCTTGAGAACCTAAATAATAGAATGGATTAATTTTAATAACACAACGTGCAAGGAGACCGATAACTGTACTTTCTGCTGGGGGGAAAGCTCATTAGTTGGAAGTGACAGCAGGTAGAAAGTGCTCATTTTATTAGCTGATGATGACCAAATCACAGATATGATCCAGCTGCAAAAAAGTTACTAAAATCACATGACATGACAGGTCAGCTATTTCCATTAGATACTGCAGATAAAAACATTGATCTCGTTTCATCTGAAACAATTTGTGCAATTCTGCTCACTATTATTCAGAAAATATTAGATTGCACTGCAGGAGGTACAGAGGAGGACTTGAAGCATGATCAGTAAAATGAAAAATCTATGAGAGAAGAATAAAAATGGTTCATTTTGCTTAGTGAAACAAAAAGTGAAAAGAATTGTGATTTCAGTCTAGAAACTCTAAAAGTAAGCAACAGGAGAAAAGCTTTTCA